TTTGCCTTATGTATTGAGGTGCTCCTATGTTGGGGGCATAAGTATTTACAATTGTTATATCTTCTTCTTGGATCGATCCCTTAATCATTATGTAGTGTCCTTCTTTGTCTCTTCTGATAGTCCTTATTTTAAAGTCTATTTTGTCTGATATGAGAATTGCTACTCCAGCTTTCTTTTGGTTTCCATTTGCATGGAATATCTTTTTCCATCCCCTTACTTTCAGTCTGTATGTGTCTCTAGGTCTGAAGTGGGTCTCTTGTAGACAGCATATATATGGGTCTTGTTTTTGTATCCATTCAGCCAATCTGTGTCTTTTGGTGGGAGCATTTAGTCCATTTACATTTAAGGTAATTATCGATATGTATGTTCCTATTCCCATTTTCTAAATTGTTTTGGGTTCGTTATTATAGGACTTTTCCTTCTCTTGTGTTTTTGTCTAGAGCAGTTCCTTTAGCATTTGTTGTAAAGCTGGTTTGGTGGTGCTGAACTCTCTCAGCTTTTGCTTGTCTGTAAAGGTTTTAATTTCTCCATCAAATCTGAATGAGATCCTTGCTGGGTAGAGTAATCTTGGTTGCAGGTTTTTCTCCTTCATCACTTTCAGTATGTCCTGCCACTCCCTTCTGGCTTGTAGAGTTTCTGCTGAGAGATCAGCTGTTAACCTTATGGGGATTCCCTTGTGTGTTATTTGTTGTTTTTCCCTTGCTGCTTTTAATATGCTTTCTTTGTATTTAGTTTTTGACAGTTTGATTAATATGTGTCTTGGCGTATTTCTCCTTGAATTTATCCTGTATGGGACTCTCTGTGCTTCCTGGACTTGATTAACGATTTCCTTTCCCATATTAGGGAAGTTTTCAACTATAATCTCTTCAAATATTTTCTCAGTCCCTTTCTTTTTCTCTTCTTCTTCTGGAACCCCTATAATTCGAATGTTGGTGCGTTTAATGTTGTCCCAGAGGTCTCTGAGACTGTCCTCAGTTCTTTTCATTCTTTTTTCTTTATTCTGCTCTGCAGTAGTTATTTCCACTATTTTATCTTCCAGGTCACTTATCCGTTCTTCTGCCTCATTTATTCTGCTATTGATCCCATCTAGAGTATTTTTCATTTCATTTATTGTGTTGTTCATCATTGTCTGTTTCATCTTTATTTCTTCTAGGTCCTTGTTAACTGCTTCTTGCATTTTGTCCATTCTATTTCCAAGATTTTGGATCATCTTTACTATCATTATTCTGAACTCTTTTTCAGGTAGACTGCCTATTTCCTCTTCATTTGTTAGGTCTGGTGGGTTTTTATCCTGCTCCTTCATCTGCTGTGTGTTTTTCTGTCTTCTCATTTTGCTTATCTTACTGTGATTGGGTTCACCTTTTTGCAGGCTGCAAGTTCGTAGCTCCCGTTGTTTTTGATGTCTGTCTCCAGTGGCTAAGGTTGGTTCAGTGGGTTGTGTAGGCTTCCTGGTGGAGGGGACTAGTGCCTGTGTTGTGGTGTATGAGGCTAGATCTTGTCTCTCTAGTGGGCAGGTCCACGTCTGGTGGTGTGTTTTGGGGTGTCTGTGGACTTATTATGATTTTAGGCAGCCTCTCTGCTAGTGGGTGGGGTTGTGTTCCTGTTTTGCTATATGGTTGGCATAGGTTGTCCAGCACTGTAGCTTGCTGGTCGTTGAGCGAAGCTGGGTGCTGGTGTTGAGATGGAGATCTCTGGGAGATTTTCGCCGTTTGATATTATGTGGGGCTGGGAGGTCTCTTCTTGACGAGTGTTCTGAAGTTGGCTCTCCCACCTCAGAGGCAGAGTCCTGACTCCTGGCTGGAGCAGCAAGAGCCTTTCATCCACTCGGCTCAGAATAAAAGGGAGAGAAAGTAGAGAGAATTAGTATAAGTAGGAGGAAATAGGAAAGAAAGAAAGAAAGAAAGAAAGAGAGGAGGGAAGGAAGGAAGGAGGGAAGGAAGAAAGAAAGAAAGAAGAAAAGAAAGGAAGAAAAAAGAAAGAAAGAAAGCAAGAAAGAAAGTAGGGAGGGAAGGAAGGAAGGAGGGAGGGAAGGAAGGAAAAAATACAGAAAGAAAGAAGATACAGTAAAATAAAATAAAGTATAAAGTTATTGAATTAAAAAAAGTTATTATTTAGAGAAAAAAAGGGACGGCTAGAACCTTAGGACAAATGGTGGAAGCAAAGCTATACAGACAAAATCTTACATAGAAGCACACACATATACCCTCACAAAAAGAGGTAAAGGGGAAAAAATCATAAAACTTGCTCTCCAAGTCCACCTCCTCAATTTGGGATGATTCGTTGTCTAAAGTAGGGAAGGAAGGAAAGAAAGATAGAAAGAAGGTAAAGTATAATAGAGTTATTTAAATTAAAATTAATTATTAAGAAAAAAATTAAAAAAAAAACAATGGACGGATAGAACGCTAGGACAAATGGTGGAAGCAAACCTATACAGACAAGATCTCACACAGAAGCATACACATACACATTCACAAAAAGAGGAAAAGGGGAAAAAATCATAGATCTTGCTCTAGAAGTCCGCCTCCTCAATTTGGGATGATTCGCTGTCTATTCATGTATTCCACAGAGGCAGGGTACATCAAATTGATTGTGTAGCTTTAATCCGCTGTTTCTGAGGCTGCTGGGAGAGATTTCCCTTTTTCTTCTTTGTTCTCACAGCTCACAGGGGCTCAGCTTTCGACTTGGCCCTGCCTCTGCGTGTAGGTCGCCGGAGGGCGTCTGTT